TTGGCAAAGGGCGGAGGAAACAACTCAGTATTTTATAGTGGTGGTGTTAGCCAAATTGCTTTTTATTTATAGCAACTGGCAATTATAGATGGGTTCTTGCCAATTTATACCAAGGTCCTGATCCCACCAAGGATTACCAGTAAAAGATTCGAGGCTGTTGTGGTTAAAATAGATGTCTTTTACTTAAAAATATATCTCATACAAACAATACTGATGCATTCACACATTCAATCAAGTTCCTAAGAATTACAGTAGGAAATAAGCAGAGTTGCATTGGCAGGTAGGGGTGATGAAGGGCGATACTTATCTGTCCTGAAACTTGGTTGTTCCAATGAAGAATGGATGGAAAGAAATGGAAACAAAGGGAATCCACACAACCAGAACCAGCCGGAACGTGTGGGTCTCTTGACTATAGATCAAGAGATTAATAGTAGAGGCAAGGGTTGGGGATAGCAAGTGGGACTTAAGAGTAAAAGCAGACAGGGGTTGTTTTGGGGGAATGCTAGCTAGGAGGAGCCAGGTGACTGGTTCTCTCTTGTTATAGGGGGTCCAAGAGGTGGGTGCTACCTACCTGTTAGTCCATCCCAAAAACAATCCTATTGGTTGCAGGTAGGGAGGGAGGTTACCTAGGAGGGATGGCCCATGTAGGCCCCGGTCACACGGGCCGGATACTGCGGGGGGAGGCGTGGCTAATTGCCCCAGTGCAGTTTGATCCGCAATCAGACGTGCTGGCGGCACACCACGGGTCCTTCCCTCGGTGCCGGCAGGTAAACGAGGGACCAGAGGGGAATGCCGCGCGCTGGCGCGATCACACCACGGGCGTCTGGAGGCAGCCTGTGGCAAACGTTTACTAGTACCTTGGAGGTACTAGTTTTTTAACACGCATCATCGACAGGAAGCCACGGGTTAGCCACGGGAGCACTACGCTTCCCAGATGTTGCAGTGTGATCGCGCCCGGAAAATCCACCTATCATCCGTCTCTTTAGCGCGGCAAATGCCCCGTGTGAACGGGGCTGTAGTAACCTAAAACCTTACTTGAAGGATTGGCATCTGAGCATGTGTGAAATCCAGGCGTCAGGATGCTTCCTTGTAATGCTGATGAAGTTGGCCAGTTCCATTGATAACCAAATGTCCATCTGGCAGGAAATGCCAGTTCAGGAACAAAGCAGTTGATGGGTGATACGTGACCACAAGTAGCTTTGCTATGGTGGCTGTCTCTTCCCAAAGTTGTTGTTTCATTGCTCACAATAATGGAGATTTGTGCTTCTTCACCAGGCTGGACAACTGTGTTGCTGAAACTTTATTTACATGTAAGGTATCTGCCAACCTTGCAGTTCGAAAGCAAGAAATTGCAAGTAGATAAATAGGTACCACTTCGGTGGGAAGGTAACAGCATTCCGTGCGCCTTGGTGTTTAGTCATGCTGGCCACATGACCACGGAAATGTCTTCGGACAGCGCTGGCTCTTCGGCTTTGAAACGGAGATGAGCACCGCAACCCTAGAGTCGGATTTGACTGGCTTTCGAGCAAGGGAACCTTTACCTTTACCTTTAAGGTATGTGCAGGCACCCTCTATGTGTGTCATCACAACAGGTGACCTAAAGTGTATGTGCACAGTCCATGTGTAGCAATAAACAGTCCATAAAACAAATATCAGGCATGTTCCTTAACAGTGGTGGAAACTGAACTCTGATGTAGTGATGCTACTCCTCTAATCTGCTGTTCCTGTACATCAAGGGAAAAGGGGCCTGGATTTTTGAAAGCTCAGGCATTGAAACTGGCTGGGGAAAAACTAGACTTTTCTTTAGCATCTTACGGACATTTATCTAATTTATACCTCACCTTTCTCCTTAAAGGGGACCCAAAGTTGCTTACATCATTCTCCTCTCCTCTATTTTATCATCACAGCCAGGGAGGCAGTTTAGGCTGACAGTGTATGCCTGGCCCAAGGTCACCCAGCGAGCTTCCATGACAGACTGGTGATCTGAACCTGGGTATTCCAGATCCTAGTTCAACACTACACAACACCATCAACAAAGTCATGGCCAGTAGGGCCAGTTTACCATGAAGTGATGTGAAACAGGCCCAGTTCAGATGTTACTTGCATGGTGAGGCTGCATCAGCTGGATCTATGCAGCACAGAAACGATGTAAGCTAGTGAGCTGAATGAAGAAGCATGCAGTTACTGGCACTGATTCCAGGGTGGCATTTTCCTGCCTTTGTATGAATAACAACAACAATTATAACAATAATGATTACAGCCACTCCACAAATGGTTTGATTTTTCATTTTAAAAAACCATGAACATATGAAGCTACAACAGGGGTCCTTAACATGGTGCCCACTGACACCTTTCTTGGCGCTCCCCAAGGGTTTTAGAAAGTGGGTGGGCCAGGTGGGGCTTTTGCCTAGCAGGGCTTCTGACGGGCCATTGGAGATATGATGGACTGTGCTTTGGCAGCAGCTGGTACCACAGCACACGTATCTTTACTGTGTGACTGAAGGTAAGCTGCAGGAGCCATTCTGTAGCTGGCTCCACTTCCTGTGGCAGCCATTTTGTGGCTGCGTACACCAAACCAAAGGTTCTGGCAGCCTCAAAAAGGCTGGAGACCCTTGAGATACAGAGTTAGACCACTGGTCTATTTAGCACTTTGACTGGCAGCAGCTATTAGGGTCTCAGATGATATTGGTAGGTATTTTGAAAGGCCATCCTGTGCTTGAGAACTTTACGGGAAAGATGCCAGGGACTGAGTCTTGGTCAGGGACCTTCTGCATGCAACACTTGCGCTTTGTATTCTACCAGAGAATCTCTTCCACAGGTGAAGAGGAGCAGACGGAATAGGAATGTCTAGGTTTGTGATCTGGCAAAGCCTCTAATGTCTTCATGAGAGACAAAATCCACCAGGTACAGCTTTGCTTTACTGCATTTCCATGCTCGGATCAGTCCATCTGTTGAATGCCTGTCATCTATCTGGACATCCCCATAAAACCCCACAGCACTTACATCACAGCGTCTGAGAGGGTCACTTTGGGGGCAGCTAGGTAAATCCTAGATTCCCCCTTTCCCACATAAGCTAACATAATTGTCCGCTGACCCGCCCCTGAGCGGGTCGTCGGGTGACATCACGCCCAGCGTCTCACCGAGGCCCCTGACGTGGGCTGCCGCGGCGTCCACCCGGCATCACCCGAAACGGGTCAGGCGGCGGGATGCTGGGGAGGGATGCGTGGCCGGGGCGCGTCACGGTGGGGGTGGGCGCCCTTCGAGCTCGGGATAAATGGCCGGTAGCAGAGCCGGCACAAGGGAGACGCGTTGAGCTCCTCAGGCCGGCAGCAGCTTGGAGACGGGAAGACGCCGTCTGTGCTGCGAGAAGGGAAGGCACGTCGAGCGCGGGAGAACCGAAGAAGAAAGTGGCCGAGTGAAGGGTGCGGCGACTGGGGCAGGAACTCGGAGGAGCACATTCTGCCGCCAGCCCTTTTCTCGCGCGGCTCTCTGAGGGCCGGCGCCCGCCTTTCGCAGCAGGGCTGCTGCAAACTTCCCCTGAGAGGATCTGCGGGAGAAGGCGGCGCGTTTGGTTCTGAGCAAGACAGACAGCGACGTGCTCCCCAAAGGCGGCGAGGTAAGAGAGAGCGGAGATCTTGCGCCCCCTTTTCCTTGTCGCCCGAACGCTCTC